GCCAGTTGCCCTCGCCACATATTTAAAATTATTAGAGGCAGTGAGAGAGTCGGAGAGTAGGCAAGAATTTGATGCACCAAAATTATTTTGATAGGTTAAACTCAGTGGCGGCTCTTGACTGTCATAACAGGGCGGGCGGAAAAATTTAGGTACAAAGTATTGAAAAAGAATATAATAAGGTAGTTTTATTTTAAGTACTATTGAAATAAGGGAAAACGTGCTCATCTCAACATTACTTTTTATAGTGAAAGTCCATTCTACTTTTGTCCGAAATAATCTTTTCAATTACTTTTTCATTAATGTTTGGTATTTCTCGCATAATTGATTTTTCAATGGATAGCATTGCAAGTGCTGTTAGTCTGTCTTTAGTCTAATTTAAACTTTAACAAAATCGTAAAAAACACAAAAACAATACGTAGACGACAAAATTTTATACCACACGTAAACAAATTACGTTTAATAAGAAAAAAGCGGTGTACTATAACAAGGCGTTTCAAAATTAATTGAAAAAATATTTTTTTGTCGTATTTGGTGCCCTCTAACGTAACGAAGCAACTTAGGATTGAAATAAGTTAGTTAAATCTGTACGCAGAATATTGGGACACCATGTCATGTATGCCTTATCAAACATCATTATTTGGATTCGCGTTGATATAAATTTATGACAACAATAACAGCACAATTAACCCACCGCTATCTTAATAGCTCTGAATTGCCCCCTCAATAAAATAAGGCCCAAATACTACACTGCTAATGTAGAAATTATAGTTGCTAATAAACAATAGCTTCAGCCTAGTGCAAACTCATTCAGATGTACTTAATTATGATTAACGAAAACGTTAATTAATGAAAAATTAACAAGCAATAACGCCGTTGACTGAAATTGGTAATCTACCAAGAGAACAAAGCCTGAGAGTTGTTCCTGTGGCATCTCATGATAGGTTGATAACATCGATAAACGAACCAGAAACGTAAGATATATCTATATTTATTTAAACATTATTAAGAAATGAATATCGTTTTTTAAGAAACATTGAAAACTATTTTTAATTTCCTAAAATCAAAATACGTGTCGAGGCCAAAATTGTCACCGCTACATTACAGGTATTTCTTTTGAGCAACAAGCAGAATTTTAATTGTCCAAAAACTAAATCTTACATGTCAGTTTCGTCATTTACATTAGCAAATGTTGCAATGCGTATAAAATGCATTTTAAGTTTTCGTTATTACTGTCACAATTGACATTGTGTCACATTCCATACACTTTTCGACATTGCGTCTATACTTTGGTAAAAATTAAAGATAGGTATGGCGCCAAAAAAATTTCAGCACGCTTATAATTTGAATACTTATGTTTGTCAAGTAGCAGTTACTTTTAAAATAATGTAATGTGGAAGTAGCTAGGTAGGTAGTTTAGCAGATTATACATTGTGATATTATAAATTTTTCGTGTCCACTTCGGTCACATATGACATTTTTTTCATCCCACAAGGTATGAATTTAATATTAAGTATTATTTTCATAATAAACAAGGATTTTCCTGTTGAAATGAAATAAAAGGTACACAATTTTTTCTATACTAAATTGAGCCATATTAACAGTATGTAGAACTACTGAAAACGAGAATTTTTCTTCAAAATAAGTCAGCAACAGTATTCCATAATTGTAATTGTGGCAGTGGCCACCGGGAACATTGTTAAAGGCATTAGGAAAGATCTAGAGTACCGGAAAACTTGCAAGGGAGAAATTTATAAATCTTTTTGACGAAGTGGTCGAAAAATTGCACGCCAAGTTGAACTTAGCCAAAAAAAGTTTGGACATTGCGTTCAAATCAATTATATCCACATCATGCCTTACAGCCACCAGTCCGACAGTGTTCAGTTGCTGGTGGCTCTGACTCTAACAGCAACATGGTACAAATCAAAACTTTGCCAAAACATTTTGATTATGGACGAAGTGTGGATTTACCAGCATTATCACGAACGAATAACTTTCACAATACTCATGTTTGGTCAGTTGATAAATACATGGTTAAAGACAAACAAATTTTCAATGTGTGAGCAGCTATTGTCAATAGGGCCCTTTATTTTGCCAGATCGTTTAACGGGAGGAAACTAGCTAGTAGTTTTTAAATCATCTTCCAGGTTTTCTAGATGTACCTCTCAACGTCAGGAACTCGAGAACTCGTAGACATTATTTCTCGTAAGTGGGTTGGTCGTGAGGGACCAGTTGCGTGGCCAGCTAGGTCGCCAGATCTTAACCAATGTGATTTCTTTTTAAGGGGCTAGATGGAAAACTTAGTTTTTAAAACGTCAGTTAACACAAGGGAAGAATTATTATTATTGCCGGCATATGAGAGGCTTTGCTAGAGTTAGGGGAAAATCTTTATCGCGATTAGAACAGAAATTAATAAAGCAAGTTGTTTTTTTCGTAGGAAAAATGTTCATTTTAACGAGCTTTACAAATAATAAAAACAAATATGACTCAATTTAGGATAGCTCTTTATTTGTAGATTGCTCCAAACTTCCGTGCCAAAATTTATCTCAAGATATCGAAACGGAAATAATAAAACTGTACACAATATTCGATTAGGCGCTAAGGCCGCGAATTATTTGTAACAGATATCCACTGTAGTCGAGTATCAGCCTACCGCCAGGTGAATAATAATAAATGCATTACATACCGGCTGACCTTGAATTATCTACGTTGAACGTAATTTATTTTTTGGTGTGTGCGAATGTTGACCATAATAAATGTGCATTATCCAAGAGTTACGAAATATTTTTGTCACCCGGAGCAGGAGGTAGACGATGAAAATACATTTCGAAGCAGGCGGTGGCGACTGATGAGTTACGGTTTGATTCACTTGCCAAAGGAAACGAAAATTGATGGTGGTTTCGAAACAAATTATCTTCAGGAGATTTGTAAAGCGGATTTTGGAAGTCGATTTCGAACATTTATAACTCAGTCAACACTATTTTTAATGTATGTTATACCTTTCAAAATTGCACAGGTTGTAAATTGAAATGTCAAAGTCAGTGTATTTAAATGGAATTTATTTTTGTTCAGTTTATTTGTAATACAAAAATATTTGAGAGATCTTCACTGGATTTGGACAAATCTAGAATGTATAAATAGTTGAATAATTTAGAGAGACGTTGTCATTAAATTCACTGCAGCTGGTACAGCGTGGTGCTCTGTAGAACATCTCTATCACAACTCACTCCTTTCTCACTCTATCCGTCTCATCTCGGGAATTTTAACGATTTTTTTTTAATTTCTTGGCCAAAAGTTTTGCAATTTCGCCTAAATTGTATTCGTTTCTAAACTAATAACTTCTTAACCTAAAATATGAAATTTACAATAAAGAAAGAACATGTAGGTACACATTTTTTATGTAACTGCACCTAAAGAAATCTCAAAGAGACTGAAATCTGACATACAGAGTGTAACATAACAACGTATTCAATTTGAAAAAGCACTTCGTTTTGGTTAAATTTTAAGAATACTTTCTCATATACCTAAACATTTGCCCTTAAAGCTCTCGTTTTTAATATATAGCGCATTACGGTTCAAAAATGTTATGTCTCAAAATATCTTCTAAACAAATGATATTGGACTCAAATTTTGTGTGGCCGTAATTGAATATTAATTGAATCCATAATGTCAATTTCAAACGCCCTTGTGTTACACCCGTATACCGTGTTGTTGATATTACACAAAATTATATGTTGCACTGAAAATCTGTTTTCATTTCATTCATAAAACTTGGTTAAAAGTTTAAAAATTATCAGTTTTTCAAAATAGAAATTAAGTATATGTATTTACAATTTAACAGTAATTGATCAATATGAAAACTTTCTTGAAGTTATTGCAAAAATTGGTGGAGTAATTACAAGTGATTTATGTGAATGATGTTAGAATCAATTTATACACGTTACAAAATGTTTCAGCGTACTGATAGAAATTACCTTTTAAGTATGTATATGAAAAGTAAAGTTAATTAAATTTCTTGTGATTAATTTAAAACTAGTTTACATCCGCTTTCCTGATACTTTACGTTTATCATTGCGGTCTGCATATGTTTATGAATATGTCCTACCTCATCAGTTGTTTTTAAGTATTAGAAAATATTTGTATTAAAAAATCAGTATTTCTGTTCCTAAAAATATCTCTTTTAGGACTGTCCAAAGTATTAGTTATTAGAATTTGCTAAAGCGAATGTGAATATGTAAACAAAAAAGGAATATTCGTAAGAAAGCAAATTTATAAAAAAAAACTTATTTTGAAACGAATTTTATTTTTAGATGAAAATATATATTTGTTACAAAAATATTTATATACCTAAACGTGATAAGTTTATTTTGAATTTAAAAAAATATTAACACGAAAATAGCCTGTTTTCCAAATAAAATGAAAAAATAGTAGAAATCAAATACGCTGGGGTATGCCCTCCAATATTACAGCTAAAGTTCGATCTAAGAAATATAAATGTTTTGTTTTTAACTTTAATACGCTATAAGTATCGCGAAAAGTCGTTTACAACATACACATAGTTCGTACGAACTTTTCTTCTAGGAAATGATTTAAGCAACCTCTTTCTAAAATATTTTATGTACTTAGTTACATCCTGTAGTTATTTCTCAACTGTCAATTTTTAATTAATAGAAGTTCTTGATTATTTTTTAGTCTCTAATGTTTAGTTACTTATTATAGTACTTAATAGTAATCGCTTTCGGATTCGGGAATATCAACTTGAAATATTTACATTCGCATTTGCGAATATCGAAAAACTATTTATCGACTACTATTTTTTTGAGAGATTTTTACTAAATCTCTACAAAATGTTTCTCAACTAACTCCATTTTAGCTTTATTTTCTACGAAATAGTTGTAGTGTAAAAAAACTCGAAGCCTGAGATATGTTTGATTGCATTGAAGTGTTGTCGAGCTTAGGGAGAACGCCCTGTAAGCGAGATGAAAGTGAATTTCTGGACTCACCTGCAGAGGGTAAGTCCGGGCCGTCGATTTCCTCGTCGGACTCAGTTCCAGAATCATGATCCTCATCTGCCTGCACCACAAAGAAAAAAACAGATAATTAATAAAAACAAATACCGTGGCCCCCTAGCATATTTGCTACAAGGCAGACATTAAAATGTTAATTTATTCTGTACCGGCGAGCATAGTTTTCTCTAACTCTACTCGACGTATACGCGGAATTTTTTTTCGAAAACCACCACGAATCCCCGGGAGGGCGATTGGAAGATTTTTACAGGTTCGGATGGCCGGAATCTGGCAAAAACCGTGCCCGGAACGTACGATCCTTTGTTCTGGCTTCCGAAGGCGCAGCCATTTTTCACACGGGTGACCTTCAGCGAGGTTAAAAAAATTACAAAACGAACCTCTACGTGTCTAAATACTAACCTTTTCCACATAATTATCCTCGTTTATGGAGTGAGTCCGCAGCTTATGCGTGAGGAACTTGAGCATATTTTCCTTCCGGATTCTTTGTCCCGTGTTGGACGCCACTTTGGAGCTTTCGCGTTCGATATTACCCACTGAAAATCACGGTCGTCGCGAACCCGCCGCAATATATCATTATCGACGAAGCCGGTGAAAAGCTACAGATTCAGATCCTGCCGGTTGTCATTACTTTCCGGGTACGGTTCCGTCGTTCCTAGTCGACAGCGGGCGTACTACTACTCGTACTCGGACTCGCTCTTCCACTACTGGAGTCAGCTGCACTACGTTAACAGACGGGTCCATTCTTACTACCGGGGGGAGGACGCTGGAAGCTCCCGACAATTGGACCGTAATTACGTCTCACCCCCGAAAAAACGAAAGAAATCGAGATTACCCTCGCATCAACAAATGCGTGATATTTGCAAGACATCCCGTCACTCTTCAAAAAGCCGGCGTTGTTACCTCGACAGCCCCCACATCCCCTCGCTGCCGACACGTTGGACTCGGCCATAACCCATTGATGACAAAGGAGGTCTAATTCCCAAGCGGTCTGTGATTGGCCCCTATCGCTTTATTATGCATTCATTCTCGCCCACATACTCGTCTCCCGTCTCGCTCTAAAGAGTTGCATAACGTAACGAGCCGGTTGGTGACCGTATGGCGCAGTACTCGTCGCCTCGAACAAGTGTAACTTTGGCTACAAGGTGATTCAAGGAAGCGCACGTAGTGGATTTTTTCCCCATTCCCACGCCAAAAATACCCCTTCAGCGCGGGGTATTTTTGGCGTGCTGCGATTACGGGGCGGAGTGAAAAAGCGGCAGCGCTCGGAGTGGATCGGATATGCAGGATTTTGCACCAAGACGTACCAAACACACAGCATATAATTTCAACGAACAAATTCAGATGAGCGGAAATCTTCAAGGACCATCCACAATATTCACCATCAGTCTGTAATAAACAGAGACGTAGGTATTTAAAAAATTTTAAGTTTGGAAATCGTACAGCTCTAACATGGAGAAATATTTCTTGCAGTTGTAATTTAAGTCTTTAAAAATAAAAATAAATAAATCTATGTAAGTATTTATATTTTAAAAAATATGGTAATAAAAATATTTTACTAGTATTTATAACACCTACATTTTATAAAACGTTTTCTAAACATTCAGACTACATTGCGTAATAGCATTGTATAAGTAAATTTACTTATACAATGGTAATAGTTATCACAAAAAAGCATTTCCGACCATATTTTTTGCACAACAGAGTTCATCTTGGAATTATATAAATGATCCTATTGCATTTAGTTTGCAAAAAATATATGTACCCACAATTACATTTTTTTTTAATTTGGTAAATAACATACTGAAGATAATTGTAAAATAATAAAATCTTGTAAACTCTAAAGATGATAAAATACAGTTGCTAAGTATTAATGTCAAGACATTTTAAGGAACATGATATAAAAATAGTTTTTGAGAGTTTTTTTCAATGTTTAATACATCCTTTTTAACATTTTGATGTAAGGTATAATGATACCAACAAATAGAAAAACTTAGAATCATAGAATCCTTTATTATTTGAGAATATTTTACAAAGCCTTTCAGCCATCAAATTAAATACTTTTTCTTGATACCTAATTTACTATAGATATTACACATGTAATATCACGGAAATAATGAAAGGTGCTTTAGTTCACAGAGTACCTAGTTTCTATAATATCATTGGTTAAAAAATTTTATCGTACCTAATTAGTAGACCGTTTTTTACCATAGTTATAAAGCAGTACTTTATGTTAGTAGGCTTTGAGTAACATTTTCAAGTGATAAACTGGGAATTAAGATATAACACATTTTATAGGTTATATCTCAACATTCTCAACCAATAGTACAAATTGCAATTGCAATTTATGCAATTAATTTTTTGCAACATTTAAAGTTACTAAAATGTGCTACATTAGAGGTTACATAGGTATTTTTGAGTTTTATGTTAGATTGAAACGAGCCCCAAATAATAGATACTACACACGTATTTTTATTTCTTAAAAAATGTTTTTTTTCTACTAGTTTTATAGTGTTTTGTAATTGTAGTCACCTACCTACCTATCATGGGTTTCCTAAATAGTATTTCGTACAAGTCCTTACAAATACAGTTTATAAGTCAATCAAATCACCAAATAAATATTTCCACTTGACAAACTTTCTATTCTCTCTTTGTTTCCTATTATCATGTTACTTTTGGATTAATATCGATAACGGACGTACAATATATGACGCGTCTGAAAATTCGTATGTTACGCCTCTGGATTTCGTAGACTGTTTTTCCATACTTAAAATTCTTATGCAGTTCAATTCCGTAACGGGCACGATGCCACGGAGCCACCTACTATTTTTTTATGGCGAGATATGTGTGCCCTGAATAACAACCCCTAAATTACTATCGACCCCTTTTGATGTACCTTCCATTTACTTAGGTTGACGTAGGGTGTAAACCAAACAAGAAATAAAGTAGGTACCGCCAATACAAATATTATCTTTAACTTCCTGGCGTGTCATTATTTTTACAGAAGAAAATATCGCCGATTAATTACTTATGCCATCAAAGGCAGAACTGTACAACAAATATGTTACCGAATTCGTTGTGTTAATTTGCAAAATCCTTCTCTTACTAAACAAAAATGTTAATTGACTCATGTCTTTTTATATATTTTAATAGATAATAGACATGATGTTTAATTTCTGTACTAGCGCCATCTTCTCTTGGGGTGCTACACCTGAATGACTGGTGGTAATCGTTTTAACAGAAAATTTCTCGCACTTGTTCTGCATATGTAGGATAGATGGCGCTTGGTTTGAATCGGAAATCTAGAACAAAATTAATGGCCAACATTTTAATTCTGCCAATAAGCTACTCTCATTTCAGATTATCATTACGATTATTTAAACAATTGCCAGCTACCTCCAGTATGTTCGAAGATGAATAGAAACATTGACTTAAAGGGGCCCACAAACTTTGTTCAATTCGCGCGAATTAGGCCGCATGAATCTGGACGAACGTGCCAGGTATGTATAACAGCTAATAGCACAAAACAGAAAAAAGAGTACACAGTGTGTGGAGAAAAAAGTGGTACTTATCGTTTTTACCGCTAGGGTCGCTAGTGTTCCTTATACACCGACATATTTTCATTATTTATAGATTTATTTATCTAATTTAAAGTAGCATTCATTATTTATTTTAAAGTTTTTAACACATCACAAAAATGGCATGACGGATTTTTAATTCAAACTGCCGCTTTCTTTATCTCCCCTTTACTATTTTGGTGTATATGGGACACTAGCGCCCTCTAATTTGGTAAGATATTTGTTTACATGAAGTTCATACTCCTTGTGTAGTCTCCATTGTATATGCTATCGATTCATATTTTAATGCATTAATCATACAAGGACGTACTGTTAATACATTTTATTTACAAATGAGATCTTATTTCTAATATGTACAAAATTTGAAAACTATAAATAGTTAATGCATAACTTTTATATATAATTTTTAAGGCATAACGGTCAGTCTCCGAAAGCAGAGAAAATAGATCTAAACGTTCAAATTTTACTTTACAATACAAGTTAGACAAATAGTGATATATGTATAAAAAAATATTAGGTGATTTCTCATCTTAACTAACAGTCACATAATCCATTATGAAATATTTACAATAAATAAATGAATTTTTGTCAAGTTTCCTTAATTTCTTAAATACGAACACAGTTTGTGATAACATCCACTTGGGGCTAAGCTTTGCTTAAAATTATAAAAATCGTATAACAATTCTAGTATCACATAAATTGTTTTAACAATTTGTAGGTCGTTTTTATTTCAAACCTACAAATTGTAAAGTATTTAATATTTTTTAAATTGTGCAGTAACTTTATATATTACAAAAACTACAAAAAAAAAATTTAATTGAAGGTCATAAAGTTTTTTGTAATTGTTATTAATTTGGTAAGAGTTTTCAGCTTTTAGCAAGCACTCTACAACTGAAAGGACATATTTCAATAAATTAGAAAAAATGCCTACTAAATAAATAAAAAACAAAATCTGCTGGTTGAAATAGGGTCCATTTTTCGAACACCTGGTTACAAATTTCTAGAAGAAAATTGAATTCGAATAAAGTGATCGAAAACTGAATTCCATGTTGCAGATTATCGTTTCAAATTAAAATTAAATAAACACGAGAGAAATTTGAGGTTGGTTGCCCGATTCTCGATCAGTTGTTTGAAATCTCGCCAGAAACTACCAGATTTTGAAAGAAGAAAATTATCGATATGTAGTTTAAATATTAGACATGAACGATAAAAATCAAACCTATTTAAAAATTATTGTTCAATATTTCCGTTTGTTTTTTGACTAAGTTTACTTCAAATTTTTTTACAATCATTTTTAGATGTGAAGTGATTTTTCTGTTGAAGTTGCTTATCTGCTCTACACTTAAGTTTCACGCTTTAGGAAAAGTAATACACGGTTATTGTTAATAAACGGCTGACTCAACTATTATAAAAATTCCCCTGATTTAAAATGCTTTTTAATTCAGTTTTGTTTTAATTAGTTTATGACTGGATATTCCATTTTAGTTTCATTGAAAATGCCTTGAACAACTTTTTTCTAGTTTTTAAATCAATTTGCATGAAATAATTGAAACCAAACCAGGAATTAATATGGCCAAGTCACAGAACCTGAGTACCTCAAGATTAAATGCTTAATATAAACATTGCAACTGATACTGCACATAAGGAAGAGACTTGGCAAAATCAACGACCGACTATTGATATTGCACTGTTGTGAGCATTTGTATGTGATTTGTATGTGCAAAGACAATGTCCCGGTGCTTAATTTTTTTTCTCTCATTTCCATACTTTATACGTATATGTTTCATTCTAAAACGTTCCCTAGAGGGGGCAATTTAGAAGTTGACCCTCATGACTAATATGTATACTTTTTACAATAAAAATACAAATATATTAAAAATATAAATGTTGGTTGATTTCTAGTAATGACCAAATGACTCTATACAGAAACCGCCACTGCACAATTGCATTTGCATAATTTTGTACTCCTGTTCCCTGTTCGAGTTTTACAAAAACTAGTCGAGAATCGGTGTTGATCAGATAACTAGCGCGGTGACCCTATTCCCTCTGAATGTATGTGAATGTGATTTAAAACAGTTTATAAAAATTCACAAACAAAATACAAATTAAAAAAATGTCCTTTTATGTACACGATATAAAATTAATGCATTGGCTCAACAAATATAGTGTCTATAATTTGTTTTTGGTACACTTGGTATAATTAAATTAGAAAACTTTTCAAAATATAAGTCTATCTCTACTTACAATGTCGATATCACAAATTTTATTGTTTAACACACTTTAAACTTTCTACATCGCTGTTTCTAATGGTTGACTTTGACTCCTGCTTGCATCCGTGATAGGGTGATTTAACTGCGGACTGCCCTCCGGCGGAGTATAATCGAAATTAGTTTCCAGCAGCACCTCACTTTTTGCTCTTGTTTTCGGTTTGGGCGGTATAATCTCATCGAAATCAGTCTCTAAAACGTTCGCCGAGTGTGGACGGTCCCCTATAGGGTGTGCTAAACTCACGGTGTTGTAATCCGGAGTATAATGGAGGTTATCTAATTGTTCCGAGTAGGTAGGCGAGTGTTTTCTTGGCGGTGTGGGCGGTTTCTCTATCTGAGGCAACCTCCCCCTTAGTTCTTGTAAGAAATTATTGTTCGGTCTGTCATATTTCTTATTCGTTTCCTCGATCGCACGTTTCAGGTCTAAAGTGGAATCGGATTTGCCGCTGTTCAATGGTAGGGTGTCATCGTTGTAATATTCACTTGGCGGGTAGGAAATTCCGGTCTCAGATTGCATTATGGGGGATTCTTCACTGGAACTGTCCTGAACGCTGTCTGCTCTTGAGTTTGTAGCAAACGTTGAGTTATCTCGGAATCCCTCATTCTTGTAAGCCAAGTCGAAATTCGTTGGTTTGGCATATTGGTTTTCTAACCTAGCGGGAGACTTGTGGTATTCTATCGTCGGAGGATAAGGAAACGAAGGCGGGTTGGGGTTGTGAGCTTCGTACACGTCATACGACTGGTTGTCTTCGACGGAAGATGTGTAGGACTTCTCCATGCTGTCGATGGATCCGTTGGTTATCATTTTCTTAGTCAGGGTGTCGGTTGAGCGGGTGCTCTGTTAAATACCAATGAAAAATTAATATACAGGGTGTTTTCTATGTCCATGACTTTAGGAGATTGTTCTCTGGACCATTTTAGATAGAATACACCTTAATACAAGGTCGGTCGGAAGATTTTTGTTATGCCAATAAAATGATATGTATATTGTCTGACGTTTTATTGAAATATCTGTTTTAGTTTTCATAAAACATTTCTTTTTTAAATTTTACTGTTACAATATTATTTAATTTGATATTTTTTCTATTGGAATGTATCTTTTATATTTTGTACCTTTTTTATAATAGATTTGTTTAAATAGTACTAAAAATATATTTTTTCTTATGGCAGTAAGCAAATATTTGCTTCGGGTGACAAAATGTCCTAATCTATGAGGTGATGTGAAACTTAGACTAATGTGGTGGAGAAATGTGGTATTTTTTTAAATTCCAAGTCATATTTCAAAAAAACAGTTCTTTTTGGTGTAAAATAACATAAGGAACAACCTTTTCCGGTTACAACATGAACTTAAAAACAAATTCGATAAAATTGACAACAAATAAATAGTTTAATTTAATTAAAACTTGTCTACTTTTGTGACTTACCAGCTGTGCCGCTTTTCTCCTATAACCGGGATCGGCAAAGCTACCTTGCGACAACCCGACGGACCTTAGAGAGTGCAAGCTCTGCCTGATGCTGTTCCGTCTTTCCAATCTCTGTGCTTTTCTGTACTTAGACTTGGTCCACCAACACGCTATGACTAGAATAATAAGCAAGATCGCCAACGACAAACTGCTTAACACAGAAATCGTCACTATGTCATCTGCTAACGGTAGAATCTTTATCGATACCTTTGGGTCTGAATAATAATACATTAGTAACTTAGAACGCTTAAAAAATTGTTGTATAATACCTATTTCGCAAATGAATGGACTACGTCTATTACAGTCTTCCACCTCTACAGTTTGATAAACAAAAATAGTACATTCGTTGATTCTATCAATGTGCTGGACCCATACCTTGTCGGAATATAAGTACCATTGATGTTGTCTCCTCAAAAAGTCGAACAATGGCAAGTAGTGGATGTTTCCTATTAAATATGGCACGGAAGCATTATCAGCCTGTAACAGAAATATTTTTAAATATATTACCATAAGATGTTATTGAAAGTAGTGTTCTATTAACATAGATATAGAGAAAATATCGATTGCTTACTTGGCAAAATGCTTTTGCTTCCCAAAACGTCATTGGAGCCCCGATATATATGTAACAGGTCTCGCCGACTAAATCCCACCCAGGTGGACATTTTCCATTCAAAATAGACCTGTTGTTCATATAAAATGGTTCATATGACACCTCTAAAAGTCTTGGATCGTCTCTTTGGTCTCTTATTCGCCCCCTAACGGCAAGGGTTGTGTTGACACCCCAATAGTTATTCGCTGCATCGATTTTAGTGTCCCACAACTGAAGTGTGCTAAATAAGAAAATAATTTTTCATATTATATGAAATGCATGAATTGAAGTTGGTGGTAGTGTGACATACAAGAACTTACAAAAGCATAGGTAAATAAGCGTGATGTAAAATAAAAATATTTTAGCAGAAATCTTTTTCTGTTTTACCAATTATTGAATTAGAAAAAATTTAATGTTCAACCAAATATGTTTTCTCAATGTATATTTTGACATTGGTTGAAACAAAATATGTTATACTCCTGTGTCAAAATAGTACACTATAACCACAATTTGTATTACTTCTTAATCTCATAAAATAATTTTGTGTATTCTCTGCATGGAAACTGTAATTTGTCGTTCATTTCACATGACGTTCCGATATGTCTGTGTGATTGTTACGAGCATCTATTTCTATCTCTTCTTATCGCGTGGTATAAGAAAGACAGCTGAAGGTGCATTGTTTGACTTCTTTAAACGCCTTATCTCAATTTTCGGTTAAGGTGTCACTATGTCAGTTCTTGTCATAGGCGTACAAGTAAGAGAGTGTCCTTATTGTCACATTTTAGTTATTTTCAAATCTAATTAAAAATGGAATGCAGGTGTTAGTGGAAAAGTCAATTTTTAGAAACAACAATTTTGAGAATTCTTAAAATGATATGCCCATGGAAAAGCATTCTCCGAGCATCCTGCCCATTGCACGTATTTAGAATGGGTCACTGCTTACTATTTTGACATCGGAGTGGAAACTATTTACACTTTTTTTAACTGATATACAATTGTTAATAAAATTAGTTCTTTCTGCATAGTGGTAAATAGAAAACGTGATTCAAAATGACAAAAGACAAGTTATTAACTGTCGCCCAATGAAACAAAAATAGTTGTAGAAAAACGTTACATCATATTGGCCTACCAAGCATAAAGTGTGCTATGCCATCATTCTAACCAAAACCGCAACGTGAACAAACAAACTAATATATTACAACAATGTTTAGCTATATTCTATATTCTTACCTGTTGAATTCAAATCTGCATGCATCGTGCAACAAAAAAATAAATTAATAAATCATTCTACCACTGACTAAAGTCTAAACTAGTTGAAATACCTTTTTAAAGACAATATAATATTGTGCTTGAACTAGAAATTCATACTCATTATTATTATTACAAAAAAATATAAATCGCTTCAAATTTTTCATTAAACTATAATTTTACTTTCTCGGATGTATATTTGACATTTTTTTTGCTACACTATTTGCTGTAAGTGTTAAATATAAATAAAGAATTGTACTTACAAAGATCTGTTCACCGTTATCATCTCGTAATCATTATCTGGATCAAAAAATATGTTGTCGACATAATGCTGCCCCGCTGTACCTGCTGAAATAGTAGATTTGCTGTCTCGATATGTGGCGTAATTACTAAAAAAAAATAAATATTTTAAATTGTCTATGAATCCTTCTATGATTGCTTATTACTTGTAGAATCCGTTGTGTGTTGTAGTTTGATAGATATTCAACCTAACCCTGTCAAATCCAGACACTTCTAAATTTTGTAATCCAGTATTCCTCTTCACATAGTTATATGTGAAGTTAGACACGACTTGGCGTAACACGATATTGTTGTGGTACTGAGCTTGGTTTCTAGTGAAGTAATTTCTATAAATCGTGACTTCCTGGTAAGGGGAGGACTGTCTGCCTTCTACATATAGAGTAGGCAGATTGGAATTGTTAACAAATAAGTTATTGTGGATCCACCCTCGTAAAGAAGTTGCAGAACCTCTCGAATCAGCTTTGATGTATAGTCCTCCCTGGTTTTGTTCCACTAGGTTACTCTGAACATAAGATTCGCAAATTATTTGATACACATCAGAAAATTTTGTCTAAACTTACCCTAAAGTATATTGACTGTGTGTTCTGTATATCCATTTGGATTGCCGATTTGCAACTCGTGAAGTTACCATATAGTTTCTTACAGTTACTTTTGAACTGGTTGTTATCGATAGTCACCACAGGATTGACCTCTCCTGCAGAAATATACAGCAACGCCCCCTGTTGGTTATTGTTTATCACGCTTCGGGTAATGTTGTGCTGAACGTCACGATCTAAGAAAAAATAAAGAGAACATATTAAAAGTTTTGGAAGATCTGAAAGTTGTAGATGTTTCTAGGGCCTGTTTGAGCCCTCTTCTGTTTGCATCAATATACTAATGATAGTTTTTCCTTGTTACGGCATGTAATAAAAGATCTTATCATCTGAAAATTCTGTTATACATTTACCAGTGTTTACTCAATAAACTGTTACAGAAATTGATACGATTTACTATATTTGTGGCTTGTGGTACATTTTTGCTCATTACAACGTGTCAAATATGTTAAATTTAAGAAAATATTCTATAATTTAATGTATCTTGGCCAATTTCTTTATAAATTTTTTATATCGAAATTTGAGAATAGTAAAATTGAATATAAAAAAAATCATAATAAACTTACTGAATCCGATGGCAGAAATCGGAAGAGTGACCACCTCTGCAATGAATCCATGGTCCGAAGAGGCTCCATTCGAAAATAATTTGATGCTCAAGCTTGGATAAGTTGACCTGAATAACTGTTTAGAATTGCCGGACATCATCGTAACAGTATCGATAATTCTGGAAGAAACATTATAGATATCCCCGTCATACAACTGAATGAAATCTGGTATCCCAACGTAGGACATGGTCGAGTTAAACAAATTAAACTGTAAGAATCTAATTCCAAGTGGCTTAATGTTGTAGGCACTTCTAAAGATCTTTATGCAGTTCACGGGATGATTGTCATATTTGTAATAAACCAGCACTCGTTCCTCTATTCTTATTTCTTTGTGAGTATCGCAAATATCCACCAAACTGAACAAATTGTAGGGAATATTAAGTTCTCTCAAAGGCGTGAAGCTTGATTCGTCCGATTCTCTGCCCTCGCCGGACAAGGATACTATATTAATGCCAACACCTAAAGAGTCTTGGACGTTATTATTTAGCAAATTCATAGTGTTTGAAGGGGAAATCAAATCTATTCCATGAAAAGCGCTTCGGTTCACTTCGACATAATTTATCCTCGGACTTCTTATGATACTCTGAATAGCCGGCGACTTCTCATTGTGAAGAATACCTGCCTGACTTATACTAACGTACTCCAATACCGATTCTTGACTTTGCATCGTAGAATGGGTGTGAATGTCGTGAATCCTGTGTGTGTACAAGCGTTGCTCAAATTCGGCATCGGTAAACCTTATCCCGCCCCAATACCTGTCTCTCCCTACAAATCCCTTGCCGCAATGTATGAAAACATAGTTGGAGTTCCATTCACATCTGTGTCGATGTCCATATTGCTGGCCATTGAGTCTTATGGGACAGTCTTCATATTTGTTTTCAGTGCCTTTACACTGTAAAGGTTCAGGCCATGTCCAGATCCTTGATAAGGAGTTGCTGTGGAAGTCTATTCTGATATCAAAGTCGAAATAGGCATTCAAAGGGTTGAAGCCTAGTTCTCTACACACTACTTGGGCGTTTCTTTCGGTAAATCTCGTATCGCACATGGGGATCCACTGGAGGGTGGTCCTGTTGAAATATTCGAGGAAGCCTTCATTTGGGAGTTCCTCTTCAGTTTCTACGCAACTCTGGGTCTTACACAACCTGCAAAGAACATTTTTTAATTTTTTACGGGAAGAAAACGCTAAATAAATAAGCATTTTTTAGACATAAGATTAAAGAGATTTTTAAAATACCTTGTATTGTTATGTACAGTGGATGGGAAGATTATGATAATCGATTGAGCTTGATAAATTGTTGACCAATATATTTTGTAGAAACTAACTGTTTAAGTGCTTCATTTTTCAATTATTGGATAAGCGATTGTTTATTATATATATATTTTTAATAATATGACAGATTAAATACGAAAATTATTCTCGAAAATAGGGTTTACATTTTCAAATACTTTGAACATCTTCCTTAAAGTAAGCTCTTTATAAGTTTAGATTTTATTTTCTTAGTATAGTCCCGACTTGCGCAGATTATAATGGACTCCAATATGTACATACCTGATGCTCTCCTGTCCTGTAAAACTCTCAATTTCTCGTTTATCTCTCAAGCTTGACTCTTCTATAGAATTGGTTTCGATATTCCCAAATTTCCTTACAGGTCTCATAATGATCTCGTTACCTCTGAATCCTCTTGCATTTAGAGTTCCTAGCACTAATATTCCAACGTTTGGCTCAAACTCCATAACTACACTAGGATAAATGGTTAAAGTAACATTAGGCATGATGGTGATATCTGACTGGATGATGTAAGGTCTTCCTCTATTGCTCAATGTTAGGTCTTCGTATATTCTACCTCCTAGATGGTCTAAATCCACTGTTGAATTAAGAACGAACGATGTTGAGAGTTCAGATTCGAAATGATTTTCTAACAAGTACGGCCTAAAGTCTGCAATGGCGTGATCGTTCCAATCGTCGAAATCAAAGATTTTCGCTCGAATTTTGCTTTCATTGTTAGACCCCCACCAGTTTTCTGTAGCGTTCAAGAAATTGTCAATCTTCGCCGTTTTGATGCCAGCCAACAGTAAATAATCTAAAGTGTTGTCGGAAAATAGGTTTCTGTTCACGTTTACTTTTTGTATTCCTCTAAAACCAATAACACATGTTGGATTTTTGTTTTTTTGCAGAACCCCTATTCCTCGCCCCGTCATGATGAAATTGTTATTCTTGAGTTCGTTTCGAGCAAATATGGCAGGTACATCTCCTATGATTTCAGATTGGCTGTTCAAGCTAAACTCGATGACATATTCGCCGTTGTTATTCATAAACACATTATTCGTAATCAACATTTTCTTTTCCATTCCCTTGATAGCTAACAATCCCGTTTTGCACTTATTTTCTTTGAATACTGTGTTGGTGATGTTGATGAGGGCAAAATGACCATCAACGGTGAAATCAAAGTTTCTGTTGTTCACCCAGGTGGTGTTGTCAATGAATACCGAATGTGTAAAGTTTTCGTTGTACTGCCAAACATATGGAAGGGCTATATCAAAACCACCGGCTGGAAGTGAAACATTCCATAAATTAAAATTGGAAACTTGACGTTTTCAACTTATTTGCACTTTTGCACTCAGTGTACACCAGGTTTCTCGATTTGTACCGTCAACTCAAATAATAAAGGATGGAAATATTCTCAGTGCGCATTAAGTGTAAAAGTTCAAACAAATTGTAAAATTAATGGTACACAATGCAATGAGGTATGGATGTGAAAATCGAAAAACAAGTCTTTTTTGGACGATAAACGCTTAGCAAAAACAAGCAACCTAGAGACAGCACTTTTTCATAGGCAAACTGTTAAATCTACAAGGAAGGCAAATAATTCATTCACTGTTGTTCTTGTGTGAGTCATGAGAAAGTTATGGATGAAATTTGTCTGTTATATTATTTTATTATTACATTTAAAATTGCATATTTTCATTACGGAAAAAGCCTTGTATTGGCGTAACTCTTGCAGATGTAAATCAAGACATAATAATATCAGGGAGAAAATGAGGAAAGTGACAAATCCACTTACCTTTGTTATTCTCAATGGTGTTATCCTGAAGGATGTAGTGGAACAAATTATTCGAAGCCCTCATATCCCTGGAGAACTGGTAGAAACCTTTACCGTTATTGGCGATCGTGGTCTTGTTCACCATTATGGTGATTTCTGACAGATTGCTTCTATGCAAGTCCCAAAAAGGCGAATGCACAAACACTGCCTCGTGCAAATTATAAGAAATCTCACAACTAACAAATTTGAAAGTCTCGTTAGCTTTCCTCAAGAAGTGATTGCCTAGTTCGTCTAAGTAACGGTTATAATACGAAGCGTGCATGCCAAACATGTTATTTCTTATAGTAGTTCGGACCGCACTTAATGTTGGAACTGGCCCCTTAACTATTCTGTTGGGGATATTCTGCACAGACGCTTTCACAGGTGTTATTACTAAAGCAGCACCTCCGAAGGCATTGGAACCACTTACGTAGTCCAAGATTACACCGTGGCTGTTGGATGTCGTAGGAAAAACTGTCAGATCTCTCTTCAGAATCCAAATCTGTGCATTGTTGTGGTATGTGGGTGCATCGACAATAACTATGCTCTCGGTACTCCTATTTTCTATGGGATTTATTAGTTGGATGCCGAGTACCCAACCTGGATCGCATCGAATTCTGTATGATCGTGAAATACTGTCACCAGTAACCTTGGAGGTCACAAGGTATCTTATTTCCCCTCTTTGAAGGTCTATACCATTCTGATCTGAGCTGTGCGGGATTAAGAACGGTTCGTAACGAGAGTCCTCTTCGTTTTTGATGAACCACCCAGCTAGTTCTCTTTGTTGCAGTCCGGACAGAATCGGGTTGTGTTCGATACCAATGAAATTGTTTTCGATTTTGTTGTTGTACAAGTTCAAACCTAATTGTTTGAGGTGGATACCCGCTCCTTTATTATTTGAGAATTCGGAATTCTTTATTATATTTACAGACTCGGAGAATATGTCTGAGTACATAATACCAAGTCCGTGATGGAAATTCCCTGTCACTTTGATATTCTCAAAGTTCTGTCTCGCAAAATCTAGTTGTAAGGCGGGTTTAAAGGAGCTAGTCGCGTAATCGAGCAAACCGGATTGTTCTATGGTTAGAAACTGGACGTCCGTTCGTTCCGCTAAAGAACTGAACCTCACACCAGCCCAAGATGTCTTGTAACATCTCACGCCAACATCATTATCGTGATTGCACGAGTTTTCAAAGTCGGTAACACTTTCAGCTTTGCAACGCGTTATGTCGAGATCATGATCGTCGCACTGGACGTTAGAACGAATGACTTTTTCTGTTGTACCGGCTGCTGGTACCTCGCTCCTCTCCAGATTCCAATCATCTGGGTTGAGAACATAGCCCAACTGTTGGCAAACTAGAGCAGCATTCTTTATCGTCCATCCATAGTTACAAACTGTGCCCCATTCATTGTTGATTTTCACTTGCAGCCTTCCTTCTGTTTCGGTGTTACCTCCGAGCAGTCTTATGGGCACCATGGGTTCTGCTTGAACTAATTCGATATCCGAATTGTATTTTTCAGTTTCTGATTCCTGAGTGGTGTTGTCCGGAGAATGCAACAACTCTTCCTTTAGAGTGAAACGAATGCTGTCGGGTTCTATGCCATGTGCGTCTAGTCTCCCCCCTATCATCATGCCAATGGAAGGGGGGAACCATAGGGTTACGCCTGGTTCTATTGTAAGTTTCCCGCCAGGTCGGATGCTGATGTCTCGCATTACCAAATATTCCCCCTTCGTAATAATCTCTTCCCCCTCGATTTCACCTCCAACTTTATCCGAGTTAGTCGCGGCGAACTTGGGCACGTACAGCTGGTTTATGTTGATCCTAGTGGTGAGAGGATTGGAATTGTGTAGAAGGAACGGGATGAAAGTTACTTTTGCTAGGTTGTATCTGTCATTCCGATGGAAAATCCTCGGAAAAATGTATTCATCGTTGCCGAAACCCAGCCAGTTGTAAGTACAATTGATGAGTTTGCTCTGGTCTTCCAAGTGACTTCCGATTTCATACTTCGAATCTGGATTTTCTATAATATTTCTATACACTTCAACGTTGTTCGATCCGACAACAATGGGTGCAGCCACTCTACTTCTGGGTACTAAATTAGAAGCTGTGCCATCTTCTAAAAGGAACGGTTCGGTGATTTTGTTGTTTTTGACGAAATTTCTAGTGAAGAGCAGGTACTGTTTCTGAGAGTATGGCGAAAGTGCCAAGTTGACGACGTAAGTGCCCGTATTGTTCATGAAATAATTCTGTTGAATCAGAATGTTACTTTGGAGGACGTTAAACTCCTCCAAAGGTTTATTTTTGATTAGCAAACCGCCGAATGAACCTTGTCGGAAGTGGTTATATTCTATGTTAGCCTCTAGGTTCACTGCGGGGAATATTTTCAATGATATCCTTTCATTACCTATAAATCTGTTATGGCCGATTTGTAATTTAGTCGGGGTGTTCGTTTCTTTCCAACACGAGAGTATTTCCAGTGCATCGTTCACGGAGTTCGTGAAAGAGTTCCCGGTGATATTAAACAAGGCATCACTGCAGTAGTTCCCATGCAACACGCCGATGTCAAGGTTTTTGTAAATTTCCGAATACTGTACGACTGTCGTTTGGTTAACAAAAATATATTCCGTTTCTATCGTGTCGTTTAGCCAGATGGCTATTCCATAGCCTTTGTTGGAGCTGATGGAAGATCTGGAGATATTTCTACTGCCTCCGGTGTACGTAACGTTGATTCCATCACCTTCGTTGAATGATACCCTACTTTCCGTGATATTAACGTCGCCGACACCGCTGGTAACATGGACCCCTGCTACATGCTCGTTTTTGGAGACGGAGCTCTTGTAGACATGTATCTGCGATCGTAAATTGTCCACCGAAATTCCTCTTCCAACATTTTCTGATACATCAGAATTACTAACGTTAACGTCGAAGGATTTTCTCAGACCCGACATTATCCTCATAAAAATTACCATCTCCGTTCCTGCGCTAGCTCGGAACATTATAAACATTTGGTTGCCATTGCTGGTTAACGACTGAGGTCTTGTGTTGTTTCTTATGGAAAATTTAGTGATGAGTCTGTTATTCAAGTTCGAACCTTCGTAAATTTCTATGGACGCACTGTCATTTCTTTCAGTTGCGGCTCTGATGAAATGCAGCGTTAAAACGTGGCCGATGTTAGTAGTGAACACTTTACTGCATTCTTGGTCTCTCGTTTGAAATATCGATTGTTCTGCGAATATCTGCACAGGATAGGTTTGACCAGAAGCCACGGCCAGCTGGCAGAAATCGCTGTAACCAAGCCTGTCAGGTCTTTCATCCGGTCTCTCCTCTGCGTGGACATATCTTATACCGTCTGCGCCATTTTCGTTTATCACACAGCCGAAAATCTCGGCCGAACCGTAGCTGGAATTAATAAAGACTCCATAACCTCTATTGTTTCTGATCGTACAGTTGTTGATGTTAATCGGTGCTTCAGGATTGGTGATATTCATACCGTTGTATGCTGAGTTAACGATTTCTAAATATTCCATATTTGGAGGAACACCTTCAATGTGTAAGGCACTTGTGGTGTTTTGGTCTCTCCCTGCACCAGCATGGTAAATATTAACGTAGTATAGGGAAGATAAACTTCTTGGAATGTAGAGAGTATTCTGCAGACTTAACACCTTCTCGTGATTAGCTCTTTCGAAGCGGATACCTCTCCAGTAAGGCAAGGGCTTGTCGTGTCTCGGCAGACATTCGATGGCAAGGTCCGGGTGGTAGTCGCAGACTCCAGAGCCCAGCTGCCTGGTGCTCCACTGACAGTCAAAGAGAGAGCTTTCTGTTCCCGAGCACATAGGTTGTTCGTAGAGCAGACGGGACTTCAAAGGCATCTGTCTGTTGAACCAGCCGTAGAAGGTGCCGCCTTGGAAGCCCAGCTGACGGCAGGCTGTTTCCATATCGAAGCTGGTCCAGCTGAAACAGAAAAATACAATTTATTCTATGTATATGTGCTGATAGGGTTGTTAACAGTCCTTTGACCTTTTAGAGGACGGTGACGGTAATAATTGTTCTTTAAAAACAAAATAATTTATCAGTACATTTAAATCAACTTAATTTAAAATAAAATATAATAAAAAATATCCCATTAGTCCTAAATTTATTATTTTATTTATTTTCTTTTTCCAGACTATTGGCAACGATTAAAATCTACCAGTGAATCTCTTAATTTCCATTTGACTCAGTGAATTCCCTTTTTGTTTTTATATAAATGAATGTATTAAGTTTCAGTGGTACTTGCCTGTTGTTGTTTTATTCGTTAATTTTTTTTTAGTAAATGAATCTATATGTAAAATATTTGTATTTTTATTTAAATTAAGTGAATGCGCTAGTAGAGCTGGGTTGTCCTTTAATTTTATAGGCGAATCTATAGATGAAGAATAAGTTGATTGAACTATTACAAAAAACTTGTCACTTACTTTTTGGAATTTGTGCAAACACTCCGCCATTGGGCGTTGTGTCGAATTTGCACGCGCCCGGCAAGAATCGTGGGCCCGTCCACGAGACGGATGTCCGGGAAGTCTATCGTCCTCGCCGAAGCGTCCTCGGCGGTCGTAAGGATTATTCGTTCGTCTTGGTTACCCTGGAAAATTACAGGCACAAGTGGTTAAAGTATGCATTCCACATCTTTACGTATTACATATAACAAAATAAATTTGGCGCCCAATGTGGGGCTAAGTGAATGGTCTTGAATAAATGAAAAATAATTATTCTTGAAATTATTACTATGCATTCTAAGGTTGTTTTGACGTATTTTATTCTGAAGTATATCTAATGTAGTTTTTTTTTCAGGATATATGTACTTTTTTGGAGTTTTGTTGTATTGGCTATACTCAACTAAAGTTTCATGGACTTGCAAGTTTTTAACATCTAAAGCAGGGGTCGGCAAGTAATTTTAGGTGCGGTCCGGATACTTTTGAAAATTTTTAACGAGGTCCAGAAAAAAATTCATATTTCTTATTTTTTTTTATTTTAATTTGGACTCAAATTTAATCTGCTTACTAATTAAGAACTCAAAACACTCACACAATTGTAAAATATTAGAAAAAATTATAAGATTGGCACTTAAACGTAAAAAACATTTTTTAAATAATATATTTGAGTAATTTATACTTTCAAAAAATTTTTGACGGTCCAGTATTTTACCTTCCGCGGTCCGGACCTGGACCGCGGTACCGCCAGTTGCCGACCTTTGATCTAAAGTATCTAAAAGATGTCTAAATCATAAATATAAATGTATCATTAGATTGAGAGGGTGGTTCAATACATGGCGCATCTATATTTGCGCCATGGTCCAATATTTGAATTTAGGTTCTGCTAAACTAGTAGCTTATTAAAAAAACTTTGAGAATCTCGATTATGTAGATGTAGAGGAAAGTCTAATACCCAGATTATATGTGTATAATACTGTACCAACATTTGGCTAATGTAATTCAGAAAAAAAATTTTACAGCTTTGTAAAGTAACATTGTTTTATTTATGACTTATTAAAAGCCTTTATATTACGTACGTAGACTAGTATAAATAGTTACACAGTTGCATCACCATTTATGAACAGGAAGAAAGTTCCTATTCATTCAGTAAATAATTTACAACAATGTTATGCTTTGATTGATTTCTGTATTTAGAAATTTTTATGACAGGTTTTCACTTTTTGTTGCAACGTGTGTATACACTTTAATCTCTTAATCTTTCAGTAATTGCAATTTATTCAGTGAAGAGTAAAAATTGTCCCAATTTTATTCTTTTTTCTTTTAAACAGAAAATAGAGGTAAAAAATGAAAATTGTATTGTGGTTTGCTGTTACGATTCATTTTTATTCTAAAAGTTGGTATCTCAAATTTGATATAAATATAATGCCCTAGATAAATGATGTATAATGCAAAAGCTGCCACAAATGTAGAAAATTGTGATAGTTTCTTGAATATATTGTGTCAAAAGTTGACAAATGTGATACAAGTTTTAGATAGATCAGGTTTGTGAGTAAAAAAGTTTTAACGGAGAATATCTTTATTATTTGAAAGGCACGTAACATTTACCAGAATGGTGAAATACCACAAGAGACAAGAGTTACAAGGTTATTTATGTTTTTGCAGTCTTCAAATCACAAGTTGTGAATATTGCATTTTTTAAAAAGCGAGGAAGTGTAAACTATAGCTGCAAAACCTTTGTGGAAAAATTATAAACTGACCCATTTCTTCCACTCCAACAACCGATTAAAAATGCAAAGTTCACCGTTAGTTTTGAACTAGGTATCTATCTTCTAACAACTCGATGGCGATGACTATATAGGCACAGTCTTCTGCGGCGCGCTACTTAACTGAGTGTTTTTTCCCGCAAAAGAAGGCGAACGTGAAGCCATGTTTACTCTTTGTGAGCTACAATGCCATTGACCGAAGAAACAGTGGCGTTCCAAAAGGGACAAAAAATTTAATAAATGCTTTTACTCTACCTAAAATAGCATAAAAAAAAGTGTATGATGAAACGCTTAGACACTAAACACGTAAAAACAAAATTGTTAGAAAGTGTAATTATCTGTTAGACATTTATTTATTCTTGTCATATTTCTCAAAGATGTTATATTCCGTCTTCAGGGTCGGTAGAGAATCACATTTATGAAAGCAATATGCCAAGGCTGTTAAATGAAACAAACAAGGTTACATTTCTTGGAAATCCAAAGACAGACACTAGACTATCTCCGTCTATGTACCTATAGGTAGTTAAACCCATTTTTGTTCTTTTTTTTACAATTAACAGTTGACTGATTTTAGTGAGTGAATGAAAATAGGACGTATTTTAACGAGGAAACGATAGCGATTTCTTAGAAAAATGTTTATTCATAATTGTTATTCAACAACTACGGATAACCCTGGTTTTGTGTACGCCCCGTGTGATTCAGAAGCGTTACTAACCCGGAATGTTCATTGCCGCGAATTGTTAGAAAGATGCTGCCTTCTAACGGACATTATCAAGATCAATGAATCTGTAAAATTATACAAGTGATTTGAAACTGGCGTTTCAAACGGAAGATTTTGTGCAATGGTTCCTCACCATTTTCAGGAAATAAAGCATAATTTTTTTGGGTTAGATTTTAATTATTTTGTATTTCAAGATACTGGGGGATTTTATTTAATTTTATATTCGTTATTAGTAGCTATTATCATTATTTGTGATAAAATAAAAATATAAAATTTTGTTAGTAATACCTATGTGAGTAGTACAAGAAATAAACTATAAAGCAAGATTTTTAAGACATTTCTGGAGTTTATCGCTGAAACAGTTGTAACGCAAGCAGAATTCTTAAAACAAATTTGAATTATCTACTTTCGTTTTTTTTATTAGTTATGGGATTGTTCCTTGAGGAGTACTTTAAGTACACAAATTCAAATTTTTCATCGTGAAATATAAAACAAGGAAAGGCGGTCTTGAATGCTAAGCGAATGTTATTAACAAACTGTTAAATCTCTATTACCTTAGCTTTGGATTTGCATCTAGGAACATTACAATAGCTTTGTTCCTAGAGCAGTCCAAAACAGTTACAAACAGTTAAATGCATACGAATTTCGATATAATTTACATAAGGTTCAAAATTCATTGTTTCGAATTAAATGCAACTACGCTTGACTGTTCAAAATGCACTAGGAACAAAGCTAATATATGTATTATTTATAGCATTACTAATTTTTCTTAGGCGAAACTTCATTTTCACTAAAATAATAAACTTTAAATAAAAAAAACATACGTTTTATCTACTTTTTTAAAGAGCAAATTATTTAATTTATTTCTACCAGAGGGCAAGCGCATAACTTGAATCGACAATAGTTTGTGTTTTGAAAGCATCTACGTCAAACGTAAATATAATTACACACAGAGTGTAACTTTAAATGATGGTCAGTTTTTTTAGGGATACAATAAGTGCGTTTTCTCTAGAATACTATTCTAAAATATATATTTGTTTAAATCAAATAAAAAGTCCAGTTATAATTTGCTTTTTAAACTGCACCTAAACTATAAATATATCTGTTTTCCAAATCTAGATCAGTTTGTGCTAAATAAAACTACCCCCCTCGGAGACAAAATTCTTGTTACGGCCCTGTCCAACCTGTCATGGAAGTACCGTACTGTTTCTATGCATGGCGAACAATATTCTACCATCCGGTGCTTTCCAAATTACCTTTTATGTTTCATACCAAACACACAAGCTTCTGGTTTACGCGCTCTGATAATTTTTTTAGTGAACCATTTCTTTTTCCGCAATAGTCCTTACATGTCTGGTTTCAGTGGTTTCGCGTAATAAAAAAGTTGAACAAACTTTGTCTTAATATTAATAACTTTTGCACGGTACATAAGCACAGTAATCAAAGACAATTTGACAAACATGCAACAAAAAAATGTTTAAATTGTTAACATTTTTTTATTTGGTGTTATTGAAACGATTGTTTTAAGTTTTTTATTCTGCAAATTCCTCTGGTATATTGACTATATTTAACTATTACCAATTTCACGCTCACTGGCAATCAGTTATAGTTTGTTCAACCTTTACAAAATAAAATTCTAATTGTCACAATTGCATTTGGTTCAATATCCGTCTGCACAGCTAATGTCAATACCCCATTATAATATGAACGTGTTTTTCTTTAATGCGGATAAAACGATTTTCTTATGAATATCATGACGCTAATATAGATAATTGGGTTTTAGAAATTTTACGAACATAGGATTAGGATATTTTTAACTTTGGAGTAGTGAATATGCATGCATTTTTTCTTAGTGACGTACAGAAAGTTGAACTATAACCCGCCAAATTAACACTGACCCGAATCAGCTGCAGTGTGTAGGTGTAGATCATTTAACGTCTTTCTCACGTTGTTAAGGAATTGTAGTGAACTTCCTTTGTTATTTACACAAAAAAATCAAGCGTTATTGAAGTAAGGAGTGTTCTTGGTATTAAATGTCAGTCACTTGAGCTATTGCATGGAATATTGTAGAAGCACCGGTTGAGTTAAGGAAATATTGCTAACTGTTAAGTGCAATGCTCTCACTCCGATGTCCAATTTACTGTTACTTTTGATTATTGATGAAATTTTCGTATTTTAGAAAAAATATTTCTTAAATAAATAATAAACATTATATTTCTATAGGAATTTTTATTTAATTTTTCTCCATTAACGTTTTGAATTTAATTTGAAGATCTGAACCACACTTTATGTTAAAAAATTTCAAGTTTGTCTGCTTTCTGAGGAGCAGCAATAAGAAATGGTAAAATTATTTCTTTTACAAAAAATTGTGAAACTTGTATTTTTCTTGACAATTATTTTTGTTCAATCGTCATTGAAATTTCATTTACATCGAGTACCTCACGGTTCAGTTGTTGGCCCGCTATTATTAATTATGCCCATTAATGGCATATTGTTCTATTATATATCTAGGTATATTTCTGTTACATCTATTGAAAACTGTATTATACTTCAAAAGATCTGTCAAGGGCGGTGTCAAAATAATAAAGCACCTTAAAGAAGTTTCCATAGTATTTTGTATAATGCAACTGTTAGGTAGATATACTCCTCAACTGAATGATAACGT